ATAATCATCATTGCTTTGGATTTGGTCATTCTGGCTTTTTTTCTGCCGCGGCGAGTTTGGGCTCTTCCAATGCATGGATTGCCTCTTTGTTTCGGGATCTTAGATCTTATTAAAAACCATAGTTAGAATGCCTGCACAAAAGTTATTTTTTTACTCCTTTTGCTTGGGAGTGAGTAGTTTTGGCACCAATTTTGCGCACACCTTGTGCATGTTAAATTTGTAATGAAAAATCTGTCAAACACTTTCTTTGTTCATTCCTGTCCTTTCAGAAAGCACTCGGATGCTCAGACGACGATCTTCGCGGATTAATTTGCCAATTTTCTCAATGTTGTTGTCCTGGATTGTCTTCGGTCGTTTAAACCGAAAATTTGTGTGCGGAATAAACATTCAATTCATTCACATACACTGCTTTTGACATGGCATTTTCCCTAGTTTATCAAGCAACTTGAGGTCCACCCTTGCTCCATCTGACCACTTGGCATTTTTTCCAACGGGCCACTGGTACAGACACTAGCGCGATCGACTGCTACAATCAAACTGAGCGTCCTGCTAGCTTATCAGCGAGCTCCAGGAGGACTAAGCCCTACCAAACACAGTCATGTTCAAATATATCGCAAATGTACGCAAACTGCGTACTGCGGTTATTTAATAGCCACACCTTGTACTTTGGCCTGGGTAATCTGGTTAGAAGTTCCTCAACTGTCAGCATCTGGTAATGTGACTTTTTAATGGCTTTGTTTAGAACCTGCAGATCAATACAGATATTGAGTTTATTAGGCTTCTTTACTATAACCATATTGCTGATCCATCTTGATGGGCTTGTTTCTTTCATAATGATACCCTTGGATGTGCCACACATTTCTTAAAATTGTTCTTTAATTGCTGACTTTAAAGCTACTGGTACTCTCCTTGGGTGCCGCAGAGCAGGTTTGATGCGGGATTGGTCTCTATATCATATTCCATCTGAAAACATCCAAAACCATTAAAAACATCATTGCATTGTCAAAGGACTGTAATCTTCCTTTAAGTGATAAATTTCTTCATTTTTAAAATCATTTTTAAATATTCATAGGTTCCTGCAGATAATAGTGATATTTGCTTTATATGATCTCAAAGGCAAGTTTGTATTCTTTATTTCTCCATTTGCATGTGAGCGTCTTTCTGCCCAAGAGCTTGATTTCTCCACCTTCAAAAGATTGTAGAACTATGTTACTGCAGTCCAGGGTTATTTCTTTTTGAAAATTGACACCCCACAAGCCTTTATAGATTATTACATTGCAAGTTGACATTTAAAAAAATACATTTTCCTCCTACACCAATGTCGAATTGTACCATCCATTTTTTATTTGTTTGATCAAAGATTTTTAGTTTTAACTTGATAAATGTCTTCATTTCTTAAGTTGATATTACTATTTATATTACTACTAGACGAATGGCCCGGGCAACGCCCGGGTTTTACCCGAGTGCATATATATTTTAAAAACGTTTTAATTCAAATACTATTCGTTACAATTATAAATTGGCGCCATGGAGGTCACTCTGGTGAAACGTCATGTTCCAAACTGTGTGTTTTTAAAAATTTTTAATTAAAATACTATTTGTTACAATTATAAATTGGCGCCGTGGATGTCTCTCTTGTGAAACGTCCCGCCCCAAACTGTGTGTGTCTTGAAAATATAAAATTCGAATAAATATAAATGAGATACTAAAAATTAAATACCTATTTAATGAATATCATATTTTATTCTTATAAAGGTACTTATATATAATATAATTTATATAAAATATATGAAAATATATATAAAATATATAATATATATAATATAAAATATATAATATATAATATATAAAGGTTACCGATTTAAAAGTCTATTTTATAATTTTAGATTGTATAAGAAACATATTTTCATTTAAGTATTGTACGTGTGGCCTAGTGGTCATGGCATCTGCCCGGTAAGCGGAAGGTCGTGGGTTCGATTCCCATCCCTTGACACTTTTTTTATTTTATCCATTCTGACCAAAATCTATCCGTGAACTTCACACAGTGAACTTCACACAGACAGAATAAGGCAATTATATAATAACTAGCGGATGTACCCAGCTTCGCCCGAGGTTTTACCCGAGTAAAGGTTTGTCTAACGAACATTTGTTAAAACAATTCTCTATAAACTTATAAAAAAAAAAAGATATATTTTGATAATTTGAAACTCGTAAATTTGAATCTCTCGAGAATTTTTTCCCGGTCCCTGTGTGCCGTGTCATCCTGAATTTTGTCTTTCCTAATTTTCTACATTACAAAATCATCATTTTATCTAGTGAACATTTTTCCCCGGTCCCTTGAAAAATACTCGATAAGTTGAATAAAATCAATATTAATTGGTTCCCTCGGTAATTGGAAGTTAAAGGAATAGTATATTTGCCTTGGAATTGTATCATTATTCTTGTCTCAAATAAATTGCTGTGTCATCCTGAATTTTGTCTTTCCTAATTTTCTACATTACAAAATCATCGTTTTACTAGTGAACATTTTTTCCCGGTCAAATATTTGCCGTGTCATCCTGAGATAATCTTACTTTTGATAAATAATATTTAAGATAACAAACTTAGTGATAAGAAAACTTGTTATCATCGTCACAATGGGGGCGCTGCTTGCGAGTTAAATCTAGAAATCTGCAAATAACTCTAAGGATATTCAAGATATTCATGAAATTATTTTTCCAAAACCTTCCCGGAGATATACCTAATAATATCCCAAAATTTCACGGCGAATGGATGTATGGTTTTTGAATCTATAGAGTACAGACAAACAGACAGACATTCAATTTTATATATATAGACTAGACGAATGGCCCGGTACCCGAGTGCGTATATATTTTAAAAACGTTTTAATTCAAATACTATTCGTTACAATTATAAATTGGCGCCATGGATGTCACTCTTGTGAAACGTCCCGTTCCAAACTGTGTGTTTTTAAAATGTTTTAATTAAAATACTATTCGTTACAATTATAAATTGGCGCCGTGGATGTCTCTCTTGTGAAACGTCCCGCCCCAAACTGTGTGTGTCTTGAAAATATAAAAATAAAAATGTGAATTTTCATAAAGATTTCATCATGTCGATTTTTTTTTTTTTTTTGCATTTCACCTACTAAATCGATAGAGATAATTACATTTGCAACATGAACTTAGGTATATTGACTAAATAGAAAACTGCATAGTAATAAAGATAATTTTTTAAAGGCACCATATCGTTTTTTTTTTTTCAATAAAATCGAAACAAAAATTGCCTTAAAAAAAGAAACATTCGCGGTGATTTTGTCTTGCATTCGTTTATACAATTATTATATATATTGGCATCATATATTAACTTTATGAACTGAAAAATATGTCCAGGGTAGCCTAGTGGTCATGGCATCTGCCCGGTAAGCGGAAGGTCGTGGATTTGATTCCCATCCCTTGACACTTTTTTTATTTTATCCATTCTGACCAAAATCTATCCGTGAAATTCACACAGTGAACTTCACACAGACAGAATAAGGCAATTATATAAGTAGATGATGATGATTATGTTAGCATAATGAATTAGTCAGTATTCCCATGGTCTCCAGCGAAGAGGTGTGAATTGACTTTTTGAAAATATACATAATTATAAAGATAGAAGCTTCTATAGAAATGACTAAAATAAGCCGAAATAGCTCAGTTGGGAGAGCGTTAGACTGAAGATCTAAAGGTCCCTGGTTCGATCCCGGGTTTCGGCATCTTTTTTTAATATTTTAATTTTTTAAAACGATGACAGAATTGATGACTCTGATGACTCTGACCAAAATCTATCCGTGAACTTCACACAGTGAACTTCACACAGACAGAATAAGGCAATTATATAAGTAGATAATAATAATAATTATTATTATCATTAGATAATGATAATGATCATAATGATGATGCGCGCGTTGATGACCAAAATCTATCCGTGAACTTCAGACAGTGAACTTCACACAGACAGAATAAGGCAATTATATAAGTAGAAAATAAATAAATAATTATCATTAGATAATGATAATGATCATAATGATGATGCGCGCGTTGATGACCAAAATCTATCCGTGAACTTCACACAGTGAACTTCACACAGACAGAATAAGGCAATTATATAAGTAGATAATAATAATAATATTATTATTATTATCATTAGATAATGATAATGATCATAATGATGATGCGCGCGTTGATGACCAAAATCTATCCGTGAACTTCAGACAGTGAACTTCACACAGACAGAATAAGGCAATTATATAAGTAGACTAGACGAATGGCCCGGGCAACGCCCGGGTTTTACCCGAGTGCGTATATATTTTAAAAACGTTTTAATTCAAATACTATTCGTTACAATTATAAATTGGCGCCATGGATGTCACTCTTGTGAAACGTCCCGTTCCAAACTGTGTGTTTTTAAAATGTTTTAATTAAAATACTATTCGTTACAATTATAAATTGGCGCCGTGGATGCCTCTCTTGTGAAACGTCCCGCCCCAAACTGTGTGTGTCTTGAAAATATAAAAATAAAAATGTGAATTTTCATAAAGATTTCATCATGTCGATTTTTTTTTTTTGCATTTCACCTACTAAATCGATAAAGATAATTACATTTGCAACATGAACTTAGGTATATTGACTAAATAGAAAACTGCATAGTAATAAAGATCATTTTTTAAAGGCACCATATCGTTTTTTTTTCAATAAAATCGAAACAAAAATTAACGATAAATAACGATAATTGCCTTAAAAAGAAATTGCCTTAAAAAAAAAGAAACATTCGCGGTGATTTTGTCTTGCATTCGTTTATACAATTATTATATACGAATGACCCGGGCAACGCCCGGGTTTTACCCGATTAAATGCTTTTATTCAAATACTATTCGTTACAATTATAAATTGGCGCCGTGGATGTCATTCTTGTATAATATATAAATGAGTTTTAAAAATTGTAAAAAAAAAAAAAAATGCATCGGCCGGGAATCGAACCCGGGCCGCCCGCGTGGCAGGCGAGCATTCTACCACTGAAAATTCCCATCCGTGAGCTTCAGACAAACAAACAGACAGAATAAGGCAAATATATAAGTAGATATTTAAGAACGAAATACTTGATGAGGCAAGAGTTTCTTTATTACACAAAATTAGTTCACAAGCTTTCGGGCACAATCACCCTTCTACTGGTGTAAAACGAGACAAAATTATTAGTGGCATTCAGCTATATACATATATACAAAAAGTAAGAAAATAAGACAGATATGTAAAATTGTGCCAGAGAAAATTAACATAATATTGGAGGATCATTCATAAAATTAAGCAAAGCAAGTAAATAAACGTATAATACATTCAATACTTGGCTATTACAGAAACTAAGTATGAACAACGACTGTTAAACGAAATAAAACAAAATAAAATAGAAATAAAATAAAATAAAATAAAATAAACCAAAATTGCCATTGACGTGTAAAAGTATAAGTAAGTTAATGAAAACTAGATCTTTCAGGTAGGAGGTTCCAGTACTAAATTATCATATATTTCAGGAAGGTCTATTGCTCTATTGATGCTTTTAAATTTTTTGGTGAGTATAGCTTCCAGGACCAATCGCTGGTGTTTGTTCTTAATCTCATGATAATGGGCCGAGGGGTTATAGATATTGAATGTGTGGCCTGTGTCCCGTATGTGTTGGTAAACTAGAGAGCGGGGATCTTTCCTTTTTACCGATCTATCATGCTCCACCATTCTGGTCTTCACCATTCTCCCAGTCTCTCCGACATACTTGGCATCACACTGCTCACATGATATGGAGTAAATGGCATTGTGATAATTAAGGGAATCAATGGTTACACTACTTCTTGCTATTGTCTGTTTTAGTTTGGTTGCCAGACTGAGTGTGTTGGAGAAATATGAGTTTACCCCATATCTATTCAGAATTCGTGCTATGGCCGCCGATTTGTAAGAGTATGGAATAAAACAGGTGGACCGGTATTGAGCAGTATTTCTTATTCCTGAGAAAACATAAAAATGTTTGCAAACAAAGGATGTCGGATAGCCTGCAGAGTTGAGATTCTTGATTATGTTCTGTTTCTCTATTGCCTGGAAAGATGGAAGGGAACAATGGGTGTGTATACGCTTAGATAAAGTTTTTATAATACTGTTTTTTTGGGAATTGGGACAACAGGAAGTGTAATGCGTGTAGTTGGGGAGGAAATCTTTTTTGTAATATACGGTAGTGTGGTAAGAGTTTGGAGTTTGAATTATTAGAACATCAAGGAATGGTATTACACCCCCTTGAGCTATTTCTATGGTAAACGACATATCCTCATTGTAACTGTTAAGGGATGCTAATATAGTTTCGTATGAACTCTGATCACAGACACAAACGATATCATCTACATATCTGCGCCATAACACGATATCTGTTCTATGTTTTTCATTGATTGATTTGTCAACCATGATCATCACCAATTCTGCTGCAACTGTTGAAAACGAACTCCCCATTGGGGAACCCCGTATCTGTCTGTATGCTTGCGACTCAAATTTAAATACACTCATATTTAGACAAATATCTGCCAGGCATACTATTGTTTGTATGGTGGATGCATCGGTCTGTATTTCTGTCAGGAAGGCAACCATGCTTTCTCTAATAACTGAGTGGGGTAAGCTTAAAAACAATGAAACTACATCATAAGAGCACATTATGGTGTTTGGACCAGGGGAAATTTTCCATAACTCCTCAATGAAATTAGGTGTGTTGTGTACCGTGAATTTATGATTATATTGTTTTAGTAACGGGGAGAAAAAATTAGATAAATACCTGGCTAATGGGGCTGACGGTGATCTGTGACAGGCTACGATAGGGCGCAGTGGGACATTAGGTTTGTGTATCTTAGGTAATCCATATATGTAGGCGTCTGTGGTAAGGCGTGATGTGAATAATTTGAATTCTTCTGAGTTAATCTGGGAGAGTCTTTTTTGTTCTAATAGAGCTTTCCTGAAATCCTGATAGGTGCGAAGCTTGGCATCCTCATCTATGGGAATAAAAGTAGATTCATCTGTAAGGACGTCCATCATTTTGGATCTATACGTTGAGATATCCATAACGACTGTCTGTGATCCTTTATCAGAGTTGCAGATTATGATGTCACTCCGATCTTTCAACCTTTTCATAATGGTTCTCTCCATGCGGGCCTGAGGATTTTGGGTTGTGGGATTCATGAGTACGGATGAGATACGGCTTCTAATATCATTTTTCGCCTGGTTACTAAGGTCCTTAATAGAAGCCTCTACACCGCTGATGATCCTAGGGACATCAGGTTTGGCTTCATTGCGATAATTCAAGCCCTTAGATAGCAAGGAGATCTCTGCTTCTGAAAGTTCAGTACTGGAGAGGTTCAAGACTCGACGGTGGTCTTCCGCAGTAGCCTGGTATGGAAAACCATACTTTTTCGACCAAAAATAAAACTTCTTATCATGCTTCTTATTAAGTAAGGAATTCTGGGTTCGAATTTCATCAGTAATGCGTACTATGAACGAGGTAAGGATTTGGGGCGCAACACATTGTGCGGTGAGAGTTAAGAGGCCCTTAAGGGACTTTGATATGAATCTTATGTTAGACATGCATCCTCGGAATCTGGAACGTAGAAGTTGACGGTGGGTGTTGTGGATGACCTTCTCAGAAAACGGATTTCGTACTGGATCCTTGATACGCAGGGAAGGAGGGATAAAGTCGAGGCTCAAGCAACGGCGGTTAAACTGAAGATGACAACGCCATCTGGCTAACTGCAATGATTTCTTATGAATCAGGTTCATGTATCTCTCAATTTCTCGTTCAGAAATATTCATAGTAGTTTAAATATTGAAATAATAATTCCTTCACTAAACTTTAAGAACGAAATACTTGATGAGGAAAGAGTTTCTTTATTACACAAAATTAGTTCACAAGCTTTCGGGCACAATCACCCTTCTACTGGTGTAAAACGAGACAAAATTATTAGTGGCATTCAGCTATATACATATATACAAAAAGTAAGAAAATAAGACAGATATGTAAAATTGTGCCAGAGAAAATTAACATAATATTGGAGGATCATTCATAAAATTAAGCAAAGCAAGTAAATAAACGTATAATACATTCAATACTTGGCTATTACAGAAACTAAGTATGAACAACGACTGTTAAACGAAATAAAACAAAATAAAATAGAAATAAAATAAAATAAAATAAAATAAACCAAAATTGCCATTGACGTGTAAAAGTATAAGTAAGTTAATGAAAACTAGATCTTTCAGGTAGGAGGTTCCAGTACTAAATTATCATATATTTCAGGAAGGTCTATTGCTCTATTGATGCTTTTAAATTTTTTGGTGAGTATAGCTTCCAGGACCAATCGCTGGTGTTTGTTCTTAATCTCATGATAATGGGCCGAGGGGTTATAGATATTGAATGTGTGGCCTGTGTCCCGTATGTGTTGGTAAACTAGAGAGCGGGGATCTTTCCTTTTTACCGATCTATCATGCTCCACCATTCTGGTCTTCACCATTCTCCCAGTCTCTCCGACATACTTGGCATCACACTGCTCACATGATATGGAGTAAATGGCATTGTGATAATTAAGGGAATCAATGGTTACACTACTTCTTGCTATTGTCTGTTTTAGTTTGGTTGCCAGACTGAGTGTGTTGGAGAAATATGAGTTTACCCCATATCTATTCAGAATTCGTGCTATGGCCGCCGATTTGTAAGAGTATGGAATAAAACAGGTGGACCGGTATTGAGCAGTATTTCTTATTCCTGAGAAAACATAAAAATGTTTGCAAACAAAGGATGTCGGATAGCCTGCAGAGTTGAGATTCTTGATTATGTTCTGTTTCTCTATTGCCTGGAAAGATGGAAGGGAACAATGGGTGTGTATACGCTTAGATAAAGTTTTTATAATACTGTTTTTTTTGGGAATTGGGACAACAGGAAGTGTAATGCGTGTAGTTGGGGAGGAAATCTTTTTTGTAATATACGGTAGTGTGGTAAGAGTTTGGAGTTTGAATTATTAGAACATCAAGGAATGGTATTACACCCCCTTGAGCTATTTCTATGGTAAACGACATATCCTCATTGTAACTGTTAAGGGATGCTAATATAGTTTCGTATGAACTCTGATCACAGACACAAACGATATCATCTACATATCTGCGCCATAACACGATATCTGTTCTATGTTTTTCATTGATTGATTTGTCAACCATGATCATCACCAATTCTGCTGCAACTGTTGAAAACGAACTCCCCATTGGGGAACCCCGTATCTGTCTGTATGCTTGCGACTCAAATTTAAATACACTCATATTTAGACAAATATCTGCCAGGCATACTATTGTTTGTATGGTGGATGCATCGGTCTGTATTTCTGTCAGGAAGGCAACCATGCTTTCTCTAATAACTGAGTGGGGTAAGCTTAAAAACAATGAAACTACATCATAAGAGCACATTATGGTGTTTGGACCAGGGGAAATTTTCCATAACTCCTCAATGAAATTAGGTGTGTTGTGTACCGTGAATTTATGATTATATTGTTTTAGTAACGGGGAGAAAAAATTAGATAAATACCTGGCTAATGGGGCTGACGGTGATCTGTGACAGGCTACGATAGGGCGCAGTGGGACATTAGGTTTGTGTATCTTAGGTAATCCATATATGTAGGCGTCTGTGGTAAGGCGTGATGTGAATAATTTGAATTCTTCTGAGTTAATCTGGGAGAGTCTTTTTTGTTCTAATAGAGCTTTCCTGAAATCCTGATAGGTGCGAAGCTTGGCATCCTCATCTATGGGAATAAAAGTAGATTCATCTGTAAGGACGTCCATCATTTTGGATCTATACGTTGAGATATCCATAACGACTGTCTGTGATCCTTTATCAGAGTTGCAGATTATGATGTCACTCCGATCTTTCAACCTTTTCATAATGGTTCTCTCCATGCGGGCCTGAGGATTTTGGGTTGTGGGATTCATGAGTACGGATGAGATACGGCTTCTAATATCATTTTTCGCCT